CATCGATTCATCGGTGACTAGAGGTCAGAGTTACCTGTGATCACCGTCATCAACTCACCGATGACAGCTAGTGTCTTTGACTTTGTGTCATCTACAAATGAGTGACAAAGACCGACCGAAGGACACTTCAAATTTGTCGGTCAAAACCACTCGCAGCGGACGTGTTTACAACACTCTTCAAACCGCTGGTCGTCGTGCAGTGACCAGTGTCGTCAGAGTAGTTTCACCTCGCCGCCGACAAGTGCACCGCGCTGTGCCTTCACCTCAACTTCCTCCAACTTTACCCTCACCAGCACCGCCTCCAGTTGCACCTGTGTTGCCCCCAGCTTTGCCGATTCCCGTGCCGCCTCCAACCTTGCCCGCACCTGTGCCGGTTCCAACCTTGCCCGCACCTGTGCCGCCTCCAGCCTTGCTTGCACCGGTGCCGCCGCCAGCTTTGCCCGCACCCGTGCCGCCTCCAGCTGTACTTCCACCTGCGCCGCCTTTGGTGACACTTTCACCCGCGCCGTCTGGCTTGATACTTTCTCCCGCGCGACATCATCCGCTGGAACCTTCACCGGCATTGCCTCCAGCGATNCGCACCCGTGCCGCCTCCAGCTGTACTTCCACCTGCGCCGCCTTTGGTGATACTTTCACCCGCGCCGTCTGGTTTGATACTTTCTCCCGCGCGGCATCATCCGCTGGAACCTTCACCGGCATTGCCCCCAGCGACTCCTGCTCCAGCGTCTCCTCCTCGTGACCCCAGCAGCGTTCTGCTGGTTGACCTCAACACCCCTGCCAGCGAAAGAGTGTCGCCGGATCCTCAGCTTTCGCCAACCGCAATTGACAGTGCTGTTCCCGCTAAACAGCGTAGATCATCTCTACCTGCAGAACCACTGTCTGTTGACGATTCTGGATTCTGCTCTTTCGACCAGACACCTTTGAAGTCGTACTGCAGCATCGAGCTTCACGAGCGAGTGATAATCTACGGTCATCATTCACAACAACAACTTCAACCTTCAACAATGGGTGACGTCAATAACCCACCTCCTCCAGCTCCTACTCCAACTCCAACGCCCACTTTGACTCCACCTGCTCCTCCGAAGCTGAGGGACATCAAGCCGCCAGCCTGGATGCCCAAAGATCCTGAGGCGTGGTTTAAAGTCCTGGAACTGATCTTCACTCGCGAAAAGATCACCACCGAAGACGACAAGTGCGTCATTCTGCTCGGTTGCGTTCCTTCGGACACCACCGCTAAGATCAGCACCATCGCGTGGAAGTCGAAGTACGACCAGGGAGACTACGAGATTCTCAAACAGGCTCTGATCGCCTTGCACGCCGAGACACTTGACGAGAAGATCAATCGCCTCCTTGACGATGAGGTGATCGGCGATCAGAAGCCATCTGAGCTTTATGCTAAGATGGAGAAGCTTGCTGAGAGCATCTCGGGCACGGTTCCAGCTCGTCTCATCTTTAATCGCTGGAGCCGCAAACTCCCGACTCAGCTGGCAGCTTACGCTTTGACTGTCAGCCAGAGCTTTGACAAGGCAGTTCATCTCAAGGTCATCGATGAGCTGTACGCTTTCTACAAAAGCAAGAAGCAGATCAGCGCCATCACCGTCGCCGACGACGACGACGACCGCCGTGGCCGCTCTCGTAGCCGCTCTCGTGGACGCGCTGATTCCCGTGGACGCTCTTCTTCCCGTGGACGCTCTTCTTCCCGTCGCCGCTCTTCATCGGGTCGCTCAAAGTCTAAGGAGCGCCGCTCTCGCGACAAAGGTGCCAAGGACAATCGTGGCTACTGCTGGTACCACCGCACTTTCCGCGCCGAGGCTCGAAAGTGCGCCCAAGGCTGCACTTTCAAGAAATCGTTCAAGCCGGAAAACGAGGAACAGTAGCTGGTCTGGCGACACCAGTTACTGTTCAGGCAAGTCGCCTTTTCGCCCTCGATCGACTGTCGGGCCAGCACTTCCTCATCGACACCGGAAGTTCTGTCTCCACTCTCCCTGCGAAAGCTGATAGCTCGCAGCGGAGAGAGCTCACACCCACCGCTTTTGCAGCAAATGGAGCAGCCATTACCACCTACGGCTACCATGTCAAGCGAGTCGACTTTCAACTTCGCCGCGATTTTTGTTGGTCATTCTTGCTCGCTGACATCCCATGCCCAATAATAGGCATCGACTTTCTCAAACACTTCAACCTCACCGTGGACGTTCCTCACGGCCGCCTCGTCGACATCACCACTCGTCTCTCCACCGCCTTGAAGTGGAGGTCAACAACCGTCGACGGCGTCAGTTTAGTCGATAGTGTCTGCCCTGTTTCCGACCTGCTGAAGAAGTACCCGGAGATCACCCGAGCCAGTCCTGTCGGTCCAGTCAAGCACTCGGTCCGTCACCACATCGAGACACACGGTCCGCCCGTGTTCTGCAAAGCCCGCCGACTTGCCCCTGACCGGCTGAGAGTAGCCAAAGAGGCCATTGACTACTCCTTACAGCAGGGCATCATCAGGCCTTCCAATTCACCATGGTCTTCTCCTCTTCACCTGGTGAACCAGAACGGTAAATGGCGACCGACTGTGGACTACCGTCGCCTGAACGTCATCACCAAAGCTGACCGCTACCCCGTTCCTCGCCTACACGACTTCTCGTCCAATCTGAGTGGCTGCACGATTTTCAGCAAAGTTGATCTCGTCAAAGGTTACCACCAGATTCCGATGGCGGAAGAGGACATCCCTAAGACAGCAGTAATCACACCTTTCGGCTTATTCGAGTACTTACGCATGCCTTTTGGTCTCATGAACGCACCTCAAACGTTCCAACGCTTCATGCACAGCATCTTCGGAGACCTCGAGTTCATCTTTGTCTACATCGACGACATTCTCATCGCCTCTCGATCGCCTGAGGAGCACCAGCAGCACTTGGACATCGTCTTCAAACGGCTGGCCGCCAATGGACTCTCCATCAACACGGCGAAGTGCGAGTTCAAGCGCACTGAGATCATTTTTCTCGGTCACAAGGTCACACCTGACGGCCTCTTTCCTCTCAAGGACAAGATCGACGCCGTCTTGTCTTTTCCCAAACCAACCTCCAAACGACAACTCCGCCGCTTTCTCGGACTTGTCGGCTTCTATCGAACCTTCCACAAGGGCATTGCCCCGGTTCTGAAGCCACTTTTCGCTCTTCTCTCTGGCAAGCCAAAGGACATCACCTGGACGCCCGAGGCAGAAGAGGCCTTCAAGATCGCCAAAGAGTCAATCTCTCGGACAACAATGCTGCATTTTCATCGAGCAGACGCACCGCTCTCTCTCCAGACTGATGCATCAGACCAGGCCGTTGGAGCTGTTCTTCAGCAAAAAGTAAACAACGACTGGCAGCCGCTCGCATTCTTCTCTCGAGCTCTGGAGCCTGCGCAGCAGCGCTACAGCACTTTTGACCGTGAATTGTTGGCTATTTTCCTCGCGATCAAATACTTTAAGTACATGCTAGAAGGACGCCCCTTCACCGTGTTCACCGATCATCGGCCGCTGACGACAGCGCTCAACTCTCGTACCGACAAGTCACCTCGTCAGGCTCGTCACCTTGAGTTTGTGTCTCAGTTCACAACAGACATTCGCTATGTCAAGGGCACTGACAATGCCGTTGCCGATGCCCTCTCTCGCTTCAACATTGATTCGATTGAGTCACAACCTGCACTGTGGTCACTGGAAGAGCTGGCAGAGGCGCAGAAGGCGGACGACGAGCTCGCCCGCATGAAGGCCACCTCCACCGCGCTTAAGCCAGTTCAGCTGAACCCAGGGTCACACCGCATCATCTACGAAACATCACGCTCTACACTTCGACCTTTTGTGCCTGTCCGACTTCGTAAAAGGCTTTTCGACAGATACCACAACCTGCATCATCCTGGCATCAAAGGCACCAACAAGCTCATCACCGAGCGGTACTTTTGGCCATCAGCTACGAAGGACATTCAGCACTGGGTGACTACCTGTATGGCGTGTCAAACAAGCAAAGTCACCCGCAAGACGAAGATTGCGCCAATGCAGATTGAGATGCCATCTTCCCGTTTCTCTCATGTCCACATCGACTTGGTTGGGCCACTGCCACCGTCGGAGGGAAAGAAGTACCTCTTGACTATGGTAGACAGGTTCACTCGTTGGCCTGAGGCCGTGCCCATTGCAGACCAGACTGCTGAAACCGTTGCTAGCACCTTCATCAGTACCTGGGTCTCCCGTTTTGGCGCACCGCATTCCATCACCACCGACCAAGGTCGACAGTTCGAGTCTCACCTGTTCGAGCAACTTTGCTCACGATTGGGCACCAAGCTCATTCGCACTTCGGCGTACAATCCACGTGCCAATGGCATGGTGGAGCGTTTTCACCGCCAGCTCAAGAGCTCACTTCGCGCCCTCAGTGACGACCCGAAATGGACTCAACAACTGCCGCTAGTAATGCTAGGCATCCGCGCCACGACGAAAGAGGACTTGAAAAAGTCTTCAGCAGAACTCGTCTACGCCACTCCTCTCCGACTCCCGGCTGACCTGACTATCGACGAAGAAGTAGTTGCAAATGCTTCTGACCCTGTTAAGTTTGCCCAGCTGTTGAAGTCGCTCCTCGAGGACATTCTTCCAACACCTTCTCGGCCAGTGGAGGCCGAAACTGTTGTCCCTTCAGCACTCAGCACGTGCCAGCATGTGCTCGTCGACGACAAAACAGTGAAGACACCTCTTCAACGGCCCAAACGAGGCCCCTACAAAGTGCTGAAGCGGAACAAGCACACTTTCACCATCTCAACGGAAAACGGACCTAAGGACGTCAACATTCAGCACCTTACGCCTGCCAAGGTCGACAGCCGCACCGTCACCTTTAACCTGCCAAGGAAGGTTGGTCGCCCGCGCAAGGACGCTCAACAGCAGGTCAGCACGGCTAACTCGGCAGCCACTGTGCCAAGGACGCGTGGCCGCCCTCGCAAAGATGTCCCAGCTGTCCAGCCAGAGCCACCTAGGACTCGTGGTCGCCCTCGCAGACAACTCTCGGGCTAAACCACTGGTGGGGGGTAATGTAGTGGCTAGGGCCCCAGCCCCTACAAACTGCTCTCTGCCTCTGTCA